ACTTTTTTTTCAAATTTAAAAGTTTAAAACACATAATATATTTTGCTTTTAGATCTAAGAACTACTATTTGTTTGTTTGTTTGATTTCTATTCGTTACTTTGAAAAGAATATTTGAAAAAAAGTCAACTTTCTATAATTCAAAAACCTCTCTAATTCGAACGTTTACTTTGCCCCATAAAATTCGAATTAGAGAGATAGGACTGTATAATTATATAAATATAAAAATATGAAAAATATAAAAATATTTTTTGAAAAAATTTGTAATTAGTATGTAATTCACTTATTTTATTAATTTTTTGGTTTATTTCTGATTAAATATTATTAAAGTATATATCAAAAGTGATTGTTTTCAACTACAACATAAAGAATTTAATAATATAATAATTTAATAATATAATAATATAATAATATAAATAAATATCTTTAATTATTAGTTCTTACTTTTTAATGATGCACACTACAAAATATACACAAATGACACAAATACACACACACAAAATACACAGAAATGAGCATGTGAAGTAAAATTAAAGAAATAGCATTGTATTAGCATTGAATTTACATATATAAATTCAATGGTATTAGTGTGTGTAACGCATTCGCTGCAACTGGCCGGTCAGGCACGGCCCTGATATATATATATTATATATATATATACTATATATATATATATATATATAATATATATATATATATATTATATATAATATAGTATATATATATATATATATATATATATATATATATATATATGTATATCTTTTCTGTATTAATTTATTAAAAACCTTTTCTACAAGTAATTTTCGTTTAGATATTAGTAGAATTGTAGTTTGAAATATTCAACTCTAGTCTTAAAAATGGTTAGTGCCCTTTTTAGTATTTCAAGACAGTAATTGTTTATACAAGAAAAATTAAAGATGTAAAAAACAAAATAATTCAATGTTATTAATTAATTTCAATTAAGTGTAATTGACTTGGAGAAAATTTTTACAGTTTGGGTGAACATTGATAAATGCATTATTTGGGCGAACAAATGATATTATGTAATACTCGAAAATACTCTTTTTTGGCAGTGTTTTCTTTTTACAAATATTTCATTTCATTACATTCCAAGTTTTTTTCTTGTTTCCGTTTTTTCTATTAATTTATGTGTTAAAATTGTTATAAAATAATACAATCTTATAACTTATTAATATCATTTTCATACGCTCTTTTTTTTTTTTTTTGTAGAGATTTTGTCATACATTTTTTTTTTTTTTTTTTTTGCTTTTTTTTTTTGTTAGAATTATTGCATTTTTGGCTTTTAAGAAAACTAACTTCCAAATCTAGAGCGAATTCCAAACAATTGTATATTTTATTTATGTCAAATGAAGATATTTTGCAAAATATTGCGATGATTGGAGGTTAGTAACAAAATAAAAAAAAATATTTGACGCGCGCCCTAAAAGTAAGAGCAACAAAATGATAAATTTTTTTTTTACTATTAAATTTAAATTCATCAATAAATTTTAAACTTCATAGAATAGTCTCTTAGCGTTCAAAAATTATTACCATATTAAGTGAATCTCCTCAATTTAAGAGTGTTATAACTTTGGAATTTTTTAACATTAAGAAATTTAAAGTTTATTGATTGATATAAATTTAGTTGAGAATAATAAAAAACCTTTTATCAACTTGTTGCTTGCAGGTATGGGACAGGGAGAGAAAATTCAGTCAGAAAATTTTCTTTCATTTTTCTTATATGGTCAAATAATTTTTCACTCAAAAATTTCTTCATATTCCAGAGCAGAAAATATGTTTCAAAAAAGATGGCTACAGAACCAAAAATATGATTTGTTTGCTTTTGAATACGCAAGCCATTTGGAGAATTTTGATACCAACTGATATTTTTACGAAAATTGTTTTTATTAAGCTTTCATGGCCCCTTACAAACAATAGACATACGATCATCGTAACTTACCAAGTTTGCTGGGTTGCCTAAGTTTTTAATGCCAACCCATTCTTTACGTATATATGTTTTTATTATTTGCCTGTGATGTAGCAACAATATGGTTCACTTTATTTGACATCAGTTTTAGTTACACTCATCGTGATCTTCGCCTGACATTTTTAAACTTTTGCAACAAATATGTCAAGAGATTATTATTATTGTTAATACAATTTTAAGTATCGCTTTTTATTTTCTACTAGATTGCTTTTACAGTAACTACTTTATTTTATAATAAAAGTTTCACTAAAGTCAAAACATTAAAACAGCAACACAAAAGCATCATTTTCAATAAGCTTAAATCTTTTTTTTCTCTGTATTTTTGGGTATAAGCTGCTTCAAGATGACCTAATCGTCTTGTCAAAAATCACCGCGGAAAATCAGTTAATGAAGAAGTTTCGACTGTCTTCTTTAACAATATTGCTTTTAGACAAAAGAGGACGTCAGACCTCGGACCATTTGATTCTAAGTCAATTCTCTAACCGCTTATGAAACAAACAGTTAAACAAAGTGTAAATTGTTAGGTTACAACATTTGTGGACTCTTGATGTTATAAGTACCATGATAAAAATAAGCTCAAATATATTTCTTGTTATATAACATAAATAAATTACCTTAAACTATATTTATGTTTTTTTGATGAAATTTTTCTATAATTTTTTTTAAAATAAAGCTTATTATATATATATGTATATATATACTATATATATATATATATATATATATATATATATATATATATATAAATATATATATATATATATATATATATATATATATATACATATATATATATATATATATATACATATATATATATATATATATATATATATATATATATATATATATATATATATATATATATATATATATATATATATATATATATATATATATACATATATATATATATATATATTATACTATATATATATATATATATTATATATACATATATATATATATATATATATATATATATATATATATATATATATATATATATATATATATACAAATTATATATATATATATATATATATATATATATATATATATATATATATATATATGTATGTATATATATATATATGATAATACGTTATATAATATATGTTATATATCTTATATAATATATATATATATATATATATATATATATATATATATATATATATATATATATATATATATAATATGTTATTATTATTATATTTGTTATTGTAATAATTAATTTTGATAAAAAGTTTATTTATTTTAAATAAGAAAAATAAAAGAAATGGTTTTTTCAATAACACTGTTACAAAAACACAAAAATGATATCAAAAAATATTTTTTTTGCGCAGTTTTCTCATATGACTTTGAAAGTTGAACATCATTTTATTCTAAGTTATAGAAAAACAATAATGAAAAATCTTTTTGAAAGCATATTGCCATGTTGATTCCTTGTAAAACCAATATATTATACTATTAAATAAATTGTTTAGTACATAAAGCACTATTGCGCCAGCAGTAAACTGCAGGACGAAAAACTTTAAATGGATTCTTCAAAAGATTTGTAAGTTTGTGTGTGTTTTTTTTTATTTTTTATTTTTTTGTTTTGTATTCTTATTTCTTATTTTTTGCATAAAAATATATAATATAAAAAATGGTTTAACTTTATTTTGTTTAAAAAGTTTTGGATTAGACAAAATGGTTTGTTTTTTATCTTTTGTATTCATTTTTTATATTTATTTAAATAAAGTTCAATTAGCCAGAGCAGAATGTTTAAAAAATCCTTAACGATTACCGAAAAAAAAAAGTTGTATAAAAAGTATTCGAGTTTTTGTTAGATTTTATCAACTCAAGGTATTTATAGATTCAAAATAAAGGTTTTACAAACTGTTTTGAGCAGCATATAAATACCAAATAAATTTATTTTTAAGATTTTTTTTGAACATGTAAACTATTTTAAGTATTTTGAAACAAAATAAAATTATAATATAAATAAAAATAGTTTACGCTGTTTATTAATTTTATATATAAGAAAAGAGGTCTAAAGTAGCTCAAAGGTAATAACATTTTGCTTTGTAAAACAATAACACAATCACTCAATATTCATTCATTACAACAGGAAGTTTCAAATTAATTCGTAAAAAATTGTACACTTATTCTAAAACAACGGTTCTTAACGATTATTAAAGCGCTGTTTAACAACAAGAAGCCACTTAAGCTAATGAACTGATTTGTACAAAAAAAGTTTTGTTTATAATGAAACTTCGTTTATATAAAAATATTTTTTGCAATTAAAAAAAATCCGATTGGTATTTATAGCTATAATGTTAAATATTTTTGATTTAATTATTAGGTACAAAACAACATTCCCGATTTTATCACAAAAGTTGTGTGTAAAACACATATTTAGTAATGCAAAGTTTTAAGGAAAATTTTTTAAGCGCATTTATGAAAGCCATTATGACGGAGCTTCCGAATCACGTGAAGAAAATCTGGTGGTTGCTTTTGTTTTTAAAGTTTTCATAGTTCATAAAGCATTTAAGCTTTTATCGCATAATGAAAATAATGTTAAATATCTAAAAACATAGATCGACCATTATCAAGTTTTCCCGACTATTTTATCTAAAAAATGAGCTTAATTTTTATTGAGGTAGTCACAACCATCCCTAGTTTTATACCCATAAAATCCGATTTAATGATCAATTAAACAAACTGTGTTTGAAAACATAAATATCAAATTTAACTTTCATTTTATAACGACTAATATATCATCTAATGTTTATTATTTCTTTATCTTTCTTATTTAAAGCACTCAGTTAAACATTTTTATGTTTATGAGAAAACTTTCGTTGCGCATTTGACATTTACAATTAGGTCTACACTTTGATTTACTGCTCAACGTTTTTTCTATTTTATAACATAAATATAAAATCAATCACTTATAAAAAATCTTTTTAATTTGAACAAGAGCACTATTATGATGGCTATTATCGCAACATTGTAAGGCCATTATTGAATATCTTAAGTACTATACAGAGTCGGGAAAACTTATGTTTATTGTCAAATTAATGTTTTAAGCTACGGGAAAACGAGAAAAGCATGAGAGCAATCAAATTTAAATAGCTAGAGGGAAAAATTGGAATGAATGAAACTAGGGGAAGAAAGAAAAAATATATTTATTTATACGCCAATATTTCAATAAACGTCTTTGGAATTGGATTACATTTGAAATGTCCTATGGTTATTTGAACGATAACCAATACTCGTCCTCTCAAATTAACTCATCTGAGCAAAAACTATCACACCAGCCGATTGAATCGCAACAAACATCTTTATCAACGACTTTTAATCGATACCGCCCAACGTTTTACTGTTTCAAAAGTTCGCCAGCATCATCGGGATTACAAGCCCCAAACATTAGAGTACCTATAAACAATTTAATCAGAGAAACTACAGAAGTAGGAATAAATACATCAAGCGATTGTTCTTGTTTATCATGCAGGTATGTTTCATTTTCTATGACTTCGGCAGAATTTCTTTTTCAGAAGCTAAAAAGTTTTAGCTTACCATGTTTGGATACAGTTTGTAAATATTTGCACCTTTATGTATTAAATTAAAAATAACAATAATTGGGATAATAGATCCAATAAAAATTTAAAAGTAATGTTTTAAAAATTAAAAGCATATATTTTAATTCTAGCAATTTAATTTATTTTTATTTTACTAGTATCCTAATAAAAATAGCATTTTATTGCTTTTTGAATCAAATGGATTTTATTGATACTTGTTACAAAATAAAGTTCTTATCATACTTGTTTTGGCGAAGATTTAGTATGTTTTGTGTTGAAATATCGTTTTAAAAATCTGTAGCAAAAGTTTGCAATGAACCATCACTAATTTGAGCAGTGGTGGCTTCAAGAAGACCTAACGGTCTCCTTAATAAAATTAAAAAAATAACAATAATAAATACTCGAAACAATAATAAAATGAAAATAATTTTGTTTTGCATTTGAAATTATTTTGTTCAGTGTAGTAAGTTTTTTAAACTCTTTTACTTGTTTCGGACAAAATCATAAAATCTTTCTCTAAAGTAATTTCTGAAATGTTGTTTTAATACATAGAAAGTGGTCATTCAGTTAAGTAAATTTAAAAAAAGCTTAAAAATTTTAACAAAACCATTGAAGCAATCTAGAGTTGCCATCTGGTTTTTACGTAAGAGAGCTCAGTGTCAAAACTTAATAAAATCAAGATTTTTTACAGCGCATATTATTTCAACATATAAAATGATTTTGATAACCTATACAAAAAAAATAACAGTTTTTTTATTTTTTGTAAAAATGGTGCAAGTTGTTAATTTTCACTTTATAACGTATCAAATTGAATTTTGAAGCAGATACTCAACCTAACTCTAAAACCGTAATAAAAATTTAATCGTCTATTTAAAATATAGTTAAATTGAAATGAGAATAAAACTAGTAAATTTTTGAGATGTGAGAAGTTTTTTTTTCATCTTCTTATTCATAGCTTCATAAAACTTCTTCTTCTTTGTAACTTCCTGAAATTTCAGAACTTTTTGAACTTATTATTTTTTGAATTAAGTTTTAAAAAAAGCTTTCAATAACTCATAAGCTAAAATAATTTTTACTATGAGCTAGGAACTTAATGAGCTACAAGCAGTAGCGTAGGCAGAATTTTTTGATGTTTCAAATTTGACACTTTCAGGAATTCGGCAAACTGCTAATTTAAATAAATTTATGAGTATGTCAAATGATAATTTTTTGCAAAAAATTGCGATGATTGGAGCCTGCGAATAATAACACCCAAAAAGGGTCGCTCCGCCTATTCCTAACGCGTGGGCAATGAGTTAATAAAATATATTTTATTAAATATAATAATGACTAAAGTAGTAAATAATGATTAAAGTAGTAAAATCAATAACAGTAAGTATAAAAATATTAATAAATATCACAAATAAATATTAAACAACAATAATACGTAATAATGACAGTAACAAAAATAAAATATAAATAATATTTATATCATATATAATAATAATAATATTAATAATAATAATAATAATAATAATAATAATAATAATAATAATAATAAAAATAATAATAATAATAAAAATATTTTTAATATGAACTATACTTACTTAACGAGTAAAGCTTAATGAGCTATAAGCTAAACTATGAATAAAACATAACAGTGTAAACATGTAACAGTGTAACATATAACAGTGTAAACATGTAACAGCTATGTATTAACTGTGTATTGATTATTTAACTATTGTGTTATTAGTTATTTATGATTATTTTTTTTATACTTATTATTTTTATCGTAAATGTTGTTTTTTTATAAGCATTATAAGGAACAGATTTTAGTGTTTGAGATTTTCTGACATAAAGCATACTCCAAACATTTATATGTTTATAGTAAAGTAAAATAAGGATGCTTTGTAAAAAATTGCAATGATTGGATCCTGGGAATAAAAAAGCCCGAACATTTTTGTCCCCTAAACGTGGGTGCATAAAACAATTAATTTGATAAGATATACATTTGGTTAAATATATTTTTTACTATTCTTACATAATTTTATATTCATTGATAAATTTTAAATTTTATACTATATTCTCCTAATATTCAAAAAAATATGACCATATAAAGTTTAAATGGTCATATTTATGATCATATTTCTGAGCGGATCCATATTATGTTTATATTATAAACATAATATAGATTCGCCCCTGTAAGCATAACACTTAAAAGTATATTTATTAAGATTTGAGTAAAAAATAAGTAAAAAATTATAACTATCGAGCTTTAATAAACTGTTTTAGTGGTTTAAATTATTTTAATTAAAAATTTTTCAATTTTACTTTATTATTTTATTTTTCATTTATTATTCAATTTTACTTTATTAAATATTTCAATTTTACTTTAATCATTTAAATTTACATAAAAAAAAGTCAAACAGATTTTAAAAAGCAATGACTTCATAAGTTTAGACAATTCTAAAATAAGATATGAAACAGAACATAAAGTTTAAAAATATGTTAATAGAAATACTAATTGCATTAGAAAAAAGCGCTTTGAAGTATTACATCTCTCTCTCTCTCTTTCTCTTTATATATATATATATATATATATATATATATATATATATATATATATATATATATATATATATATATATATATATATATATATATATATATATATATATATATATATATATATATATATATATATATATGTATACATATATATATATATGTATATATATATATATATATATATATATATATATATATATATATATATATATATATGTATATATATATACATATTTGTATACATATTAAATATATATATATACATCTCTCTCTCTCTCTCTTTCTCTTTATATATATATATATATATATATATATATATATATATATATATATATATATATATATATATATATATATATATATATATATATATATATATATATATATATATATATATATATATATATAACTTAAAAAAATCGGGTCTGCCATAACTTGTAATATTCAGCTATATTTTGGCCTTCAGTTAGTTTGTAGTCAATATAATAGATTGTAGTCATTTGCAAATTTATGGTCTTTTAATACTTTAGCAAAACATCTTTTTTTTTGCTTATAAAAAGTAAATTACTTCAAAGAAAAGATAGAAAAAAGTCTAATAGAAAATAAAATAGGGAAACTTTAAAAAAGTCTCTGGCACGTATTTTTTATTAAATGTTATGTGTAAATGTACATTTACAGCAATACCAGAACATTATTGGAAAAGTGAATAGAAAATTCAATAAAAATACCCATGTTGAATTTAACACCAAAATCTATCAATAAATAATCTTTTGAGAATATTTTTTATAGCTCAAAGTATTTTTAAATATTTAAAAATTATTGCTTCATTTTATCTTTTACGTCATAAAAAACTCGATTTTTAGTATTAGATCTCGTATAATTATGATATTAGTTGAACTTATTATGTTATGAAATATCACGTGATCCGGTTTATAGAGAGGATCAGGTTTATAGAGAGAAGTTTGATTGAGATGTGTTCAACAAACATTGTGCTTGCATAATTTTTTTCAACATTTGTCATTGGTGGTTAAAGATCCATAAAATAACAGAATCTTTTCAAACTAGTATGGCCCTGTCCACACAAGTACATTGCATAAATAAACTTTTGGTTTGTAATAAAAAATCTGCTGCTTTCATAACCATACTTTTTGAATGTGTTAACTCTAAAGTTATATCCACAATGACGGAGTTAATCAATGAGGTGGAAAGTCGAAATTTTTGTTTGCATTTTTTGTTAATTCTAGTCTACAATCTAGTTTGTTTTATCTATCGTATACCAATTTACGTGAAATATTTTTTTGTTTTTTTATGTTTTCTTTCTATATTGATCAACAAATTTAACACATTCTTTACTCAATGAAAGTATGAGGTTTAAAGTATATAAGAAACAGATAAATTGACTTTAAAATGTTCAACTAGTTTTTTAAAAACTTATCGAAGTAAATTATGAGAAGTACAAAAATTAGTATTATTCTCAGCAATATTCTGATTAATGGAAAATAGAATAATTAAAAATAACTAAACAATCAACTTATTTTAAAATATTTTTTTCCAGTTGAAAAAACAGTATGTTGTCGAGCATTTATAGACAAAGTAAAAATATTACCCGTTGCCGCGGAAGAGACATAAAAAAAGACTTTTTTTAAGGTCTCCTTATTTTGTTTTTTGTTAAACCCTTTCTTGATCTTTCGCTTGGAGTAACTTTTTTACTTATTATTAGCAAAAAAAAGGATATAAATTTTATCTCTCCTTTGTAATCGTAATAATAATAATAAAAAAAAAATTAAATTAAAAAAAATTAATTACATAAAAATAGAAAACGTTTTAAAAATTCTAAATTTTTGCATAAGTTGTCAGTCAAGAATCAACAAAATTTTGTCAGTATGTTTGTTTTATCATAACGATGCTTTGCCAGTATGAGTTATCATTTTGCAAGTAGAACAATTTGTAATAAAAATTAAAATGTAAAATTTATAAACTCGTCATCTAGCCATGTGATCAGGGCTAGATCACTTACAATGCTTTTTCTGTTTCCAGCTTTATAAAATTTTAGAAACTATCGCCTACTCTACCAAAAGTATCGTAAAATAAATACCCCTGGTGGGAAATAACTTGCGACTAGCTTGTTTTATAGCTATTTTTATAACAATTTTATTTATCTCACATTAATGTTTCTTTTTATCGTATACATCCTAAAAGATTCAATTCATAGCATTGAATATAGTATTTATGGTGGTAATTGAACTTGTAATATTGCGTTTTATCACGACATGTTGGCATCTAGATATCGCAGCTTTGTATCTATCGTTATTACTACGATTTATCGTTAGTTTTGTATCTTTAGCAACATATTGTAGCGTTGTAGCTAGCTACAACATAACGACAA